TCTTATAATATAATTAAACTTTTATTAAAAAGTAGAACCAACTTCAAAAATATAAAAAATAAAAACGCTTCCGAAGTCAGGACCTTATTCGTAACTCTTTGATACTCTACGCCTTTGTACAGACTTCAGAAGCTATTCTGTGGATTTTTTGAAGTGAAACAATTTGTCTTGTAACGTTTCTAATATATGAACCTACTTAGGTAAAATATTAGTATGCACATGCAGTATACTCGTAGGTGTAAAATATAGAATAAAAGACGAATATGTCGTAAAGAAGTTTCACTTCGTACGAGTGTGTACACGCACAATTTTTTTTTCTATCCATCTGTTCATCATTCAGTCCATCTGAATCCAAGTAGCTACTGCAGTCCGTGAACACCTGCAGCCAACTTTGAACCCTATCTTCAATATTCATTGCCATATCTGAGGACTAAGATGGAATGTCTCACAGTCTGTAATTATTCTGGCTCTCTATACCCTTCAGACCGGAACACAGAAATGCAAGCAGTGCTATTTGGCGGCAGAAAAATAAGAAGAGTGGTACCTACCCAGACGGACTCCTAGGTGGAAGGTGTACCACCTAGTAATCCAACTATTATCCGTGCCCTAAATTTTGCATTGTTGCCACGCTTGGCAGGCGAATTTGACACTGCAATTTTAATAATTTTAATTGTTATTAGAAAGTAAGGGTTATTATAATATAAAGAAATGTTATATGTATTTTATATATTTTACTATATATTATTAGATAGCTGTTCCCTGCGACTTTGCTCGCGTGTTAGGATTTTTATGTTTTGCGCGGAACCCTAATTATTTTTCTAAAATTAAAGTAGCCTAAATTACTCCTTATGAAATCAGCTACCTGCCAGTGAAAGTCCCGTCAAAATCGGTAAAGCCGTTTTGGAGATTAGCCGGAACAAACAGAAAGACAGACAGACAAAAATTTTAAAAATTGTGTTTTTGTTATAATTACCGTATATACTTTCATATGCAATTAGTAAAAAGCTGTAATTTTGACATTACAAACAGACACTTCAATTTTATATAATTGTATATGTAGTGTTTGCATATATATATATAAGTCACTGTCTCGAGTGCACCGCGTCAGTTACACGAGAGCCTCGGGCGAGAGTGGACGTGTTTAGTTAAGTGCGTGCCGAGCCTGTGTTAGACTACAGTGATTAGAGAAGATAGCAGACAATACAGTATAGATAAGTCATGATTTCTCACGACTTATCAAGTCTGGTGATGTGTATGACATATAGGGCAGTGTTAAGAGGGAGATTATAAAATTTTTGTTTAATTGAGCTTTTATCGATGGTAAAACACTTTGCACATATGTCATTATTGCACTCTTATAAGTTACTCGTAATTATTTAAGGTGATTAGATTAATTAGTTCGGACTATACTACCTATAAATCTACAAATTCCCTCTATGATGTAACTTATTGGGAATATAACCCTCCCCTATAAGTTCAGCAGTGGACTTTAATATGTATTGATGGATGAATGAACCGTGTAGTGGCGGTGTAAGAATATCCACTACCCCACATCATCCCGTGGGTTTCGTAAAAGGCGACAGAGGGGAACAAATCAGGAGATGGTTTGCAGCGTCTTCCTAGTAATGACTAAATATAACAAACTACGGTTGCCAACCCGCTTGCCAAGCGTGGTAACTATGGCAAATATCTCCCCCAATGAGGCATTCTATGTGCAAGGCCTATGTTTAGCAGTAGACTTTAATAGGCTGTAACGGTACCGGTAACTATAATGGATGAATGGAAACTCAGAAGGGTAACCTTACCGCGCGGTGGTAGCGTCAAAAAATACATCACCCCATTTCATTCCGTGGATCGTCATAAGCGACTACGGGAAATTCCATTAAAATCAAATTACTTCCAATAAGTGGTGGTGCAATCATGTAATTTATGTGAGACGTAAAATTACCAGACTAGTCACAGGCAGATGCGTTAATGGTGCGTGACGTGACGTCACCGCGATTGTCTCACCAAACGAAACGATTAAGGCAAATTCTCAAGGCAAAGTAGGGAGAATTTGCCCATGTTCAGGAATTGTTACGTGGTAGAGCCATGCTGCAGCTATATTATGGTTGTAGCATAAATGAATCGGCTCGAACGGGGAAGAACCAAGCTCTCACTGAATACCAGGGTAAAATTAATGTAGATCATAATGATAATCTTAGTCCTCAGGGATGGCAATGCATCTGCATTTTGATTCTTAATCAAGGATAAATTTAGATGTCTATGAGCCACAGCATCCACCAACCATCAGGTGGCATGTGTTCTCGTTTGTGACCCTTGTTCTATAAAAAAAGGAATGAAATTTCACAGAGTTATAGCAATCTTCAAGGGTATTAGCAATCGTCCTTCTAATAAATGAGCAAATTCTGTCATCACTGAACTTTTAAAATTGCGATGAATGATCAAACCGCTAAAAATACCCGTACTGAAAATCAATTTGACCGTCCGGAATGAGACCTTTAATTAAATCGAACACGCTCCAATACTTTACTAAACGACTGCCGGCCCTTAACTATTGAGCTCTGATTTCAATAGCCATGTATAGTTTATACCTAGATATATTACTACTCTCTCTCTATATTTTGCTTACAGTAGTTAAATGAATAGACCAAATTTCCGAAAGGAATGTGTAAATTTTTTTTTTTGCGAGATGGCGTAAATGTAACGTCTTATAATATGTCTATTATCTAATTCTGCAGGGATTTTTTGCAGTGAATATATGCGTAATATGGGCATATTATTCGAAATGAAGTAATCCATACCACAAGAAGACTGTTCGCTATGAAACTGGATAGATATAAGAGAAGAGGGAGGCCTAAGAAAAGATGGATAGACTGTGAGTAAAGAAATGACGGCGAATAGAAAAGAATGGATAAGAAGGACATGCTATGCCGATCCCAAATAAATCAGGATTAGGCCAAGTAAAGTTATATTATGTATAGGTTAGTTTAGGCATATATTGATCGAATAAAAGTAAATTTAAAAAGGCATTGAATTTATTTATGGAATGTTCGTTTTTTCTGTTTTCCATAAAAATTTCAGTTTTATATTAACGAGTGCAGAATAAATAAAAACATAATACACAAAAACAAAACAAGGTAGTCGATGTCGTAAATTCTGATTTTATTATACACTGATTACTTGAAAGAGTTGTCTCTAATTTGGTCTCTTATATTAAAGGAGCCTTTAACAAAGCGTGTTGCTAACCAGTAATTATAAAATGGCTGTGAATTAACACTACCATTTAAAATTTATCTGTTAATTGCAGCCAGTTAGATTCACTTCTAATGATTATTAATATACCAAATTCATGACCCGATACTAACAAGGGTTAGAGAAATTTACTTAACCGTATTTAATTAATATATAATACGCGTAATACACGTGAGCAATCAAGTTTAGATTTCTAGTGCCGAAACTATTACTTTGTTTCGTAGGAAGCATATTTTGCCATAGTTGCCACGTTTGGCAAGCAAGGTTGACAACCGCAGTTCTTTATTTTTAGTCGTTATTACGAAGGCGCTGCCTCCTGATTTGTTTCCCTCTTTCGCCTCTTACGACACCCTCGGCATGATATGGGATAGTGGATATTCTTACACCGCCACTACAAGGTAAAAGGAATGTGTAAGGTGATGTGCGTAATAATGTAGCAATACAAGCACTTCTACTTGGGAGCAGAAATAGGTAAGAGGATAATACCAACTCAGACGTACTTCTAGGCAGGAAATTAGTACCACCTGATATAATACGATAGTCTATCTTAGTTCTCAGAAGTGACAACGCATCGGTAACCTTCTTTGTTGGAAGTCCGCTGCAGGTGACCATGAACTGCAGTAGCCACTAACCATCATGTGGACTGTCAGTTCATTTGTCACTTCAGTCTTATGAAAAATAATACTATATATAGCCGGGGCGGCATCAGAGGCAGCTGAACTGGCGCAAATATGCGTCTCTGAGAGATGACTACATATTTGTGCCATTTGCTATAGAGACTATCGGACCGTGGGGTCCACGTGCGGTGAAGTTCCTAAAGGAACTCCATCCTCGGTTGGTCGTTGCTGCTGGTGATAAGAGGGCTGGTTCTTTTCTCGCTCAAAGGCTAAGTATAGCCATTCAGCGGGGAAACGCAGCCAGCGTGCTTGGCACGATACCGCGGGGAGTAGTACTATATGATAATTAAGTTTCTAGTTTTAGTTTTTATTATTATTATAGTTTTTAATATTGTATATAATTTATATTGTAATACACTTTCAATTATATTATACTATATCTACGACGATGCACTTACGTAATAAAATTTGGGATATGCTCGAATACAGTGTCGGTGATAAATGACGATGATTTAAATATATCATAAAATTCATGTATCACGCATATAATATATGCTTGTATACTGACATTTTCGCATATATTATATGCAATAATATATGCAAAAAAAAGTTAAAATTACAGCCTATATACGGCCACTGCTGGGCACAGGTCTCCACTCATTTCTGAGAGGGTTTTAGAGCAAGGAAGTGTCCGCCGCGCTGCCCCAATGCATGTTAGCGAACTTCACATGTCTTCGAAATAGTTTTTGTTTTCTTATTTATCAGACATGCAGGTTTCCTAACAACGTTTTTCTTCACCGCCGAGCACGTGGTAAATCAGCACTTAAAATTGCAAGTAACAATGCCATAGAACCCGGGTTGCTCGTGTACTGTGAAATTTACAGTGTGCGCTAACCATTTGAGCTACCACGGCTCTATGATGTATATTTAGGCAAATAATAGGACATACAGTGTAAACGTAAATGTTTTAAATCTACTTATTATACTGTTAATGTACACCCCTAGAAACAAAAGCTTAGCAATTTTCAATTAACTCGGTTACCTTGAACAAAATATTTAAAACCAATCAACTGCGGTGCAGTTTTAAACAGTATTTCAGCTGCAATCGCAAATAAAATTGTAAAAAAAATGTCAAGGCTTGGAAAATATTCAGAAGCTAAAACTCAGGATTTCTTTTATAATATCAACAAAGGCGCAGTCGTAACAGGACTACCAAATTTCTGGATTAAAGATGTCGAAGTGCCGCGTTTCTTTACCACAGGCCTTTTCACAATAATCATGAGATGTGCTACGTTCTGCTTCTGGATATTAATTCTCTCAGAAATTGGTGCATTTTTCACCCAGCATAATCTGACGGAGAAGCAAAAGTATGACAGGATAATTTTTACCACGTCGCATCCAATACTGTACGTTATTTGGGCGACAGTAGCTCACTACGAAGATAAAGTAAAAGGAGTTACGTTTCACTTATGCGTTTCGTTGAAGGAGATGTACAATGATCTCAAAGTGGAACGGCAGATGTTGAAGAAAGCTAAGTTGTTCTCAATAGCGAATGTATTCAGTTGTGTTATGACCCTCGTCTTTTACGCCTTTAATGGTGTGACACAAGTGATTCGATCTGGTACATTTCATACTTATATATTGTCACTGTTTCTTACTTATTTGTTAATTTGTGCTTTATTGTAATACATCTTAGTAAATCAGACAACCCGAGACGTGTAGAAATAATGAATGAATATACCAGGAAAAATACAATTATTAGTTAAAATTAAAAAAAAATCTTCATCAACAACGTCTTTACAGCCCTTCACAAGTCCATTGCTGACATAAGCCTCCTGCAAGGTATGCCCAATATTATAAAAAAATAACTCATATTAAATGTACATAAAAAGAATATTCTCATATAATATAAGGTATATTTGTGTCTATATTGTTATTAATGATATATTTATAGATTTTTTAACGTTCTAGAGCCACGCTGCAGCTATATCTTGGCTGCAGCGCAGCACAAATGGGTCGGCTCAACCGAGGAACGACTATGCTCTCAGAGAATACCACCGTGAAATAGCAGCTTAATGCTGCTATGTTCTATAGTGAGTGTAAAGAACTGGATACTCTTTGCACTCTAAATGAGGCATTCAATCTTAGTCATTAGGTGGGAGACAGCGCATCTATATTTTGGTTCTCAATCGAAGATAGATGTAGATGTCTATGAGCCAAAGCATCCACTTCCTAACAGCTTCGTTTGCAACATCGGTTTAATTAAAAAAAATCACGCCAGAAACCGAAGTCTATAGTTTTCATTAATAATAATAATAATAATAAGCATTGTGAGAAAATTTTTACAAATAGATGAAAACGAAGTTGCGCCCAATATCCCAGAACACACTACTTAATAAAACGCCCATATGCTTTTTACTTGGTGAACACCCGTAATTAGCATTAATAACGGCCGCAAGGCTAGAAAAAATAAAGATATAAAAATAATAATAATAATTCTTTATTATCAAAAATAAATCACAAGAAATTTTATGAAGTCTCTGACTCCTAAACTAGACGAGTCTGTATCTTAGGAATCAGCGGCCTCTCCCAGAGTTGTACTAAAAGAACAGGAATACTAAAAGAACTATGCATGTTTTCATTGTTGAAACAAAAGAAAAGTAAACAACTTTACAAATTTAACAAATTTACAAAATTAAATCAAAAAATAATAAAAGTTGTAATATAATAAAGTATTCTATATTTAATACTAAACATCTATACTATACATAATGTGCACGACGCAACAATATTAAACAAACGAAAGAAAATGCTTATTGTAACCGGCGCTAGTTGAACAACCTAGGAGCGGTGGGCGGAGCCATGACGACGGTGTAATTATCAGGCCACGCCTCTGGTTCGACAACTAGCAAGGGTTATACGGCGGAACTAGCGCAACCTTATGTTGAATTTAAATTATAATTTGTGTAAATAATTGTATTACTTGTATCGAACGATAAAAAATAATGATTGTATTATAACTAAGTTTAAGGTTGAGTTGTAACTGTGCAATAACTCTCCCAAATAAAGGCACCGTATGAACAGGGAGAGTTAGCATAGTCTTCTAATGAAAACTGTAATTGTTAAATATAATAAATGTTTACTTTATTATATAATAAATATATTAGGCCGTTAGGCACATAAAATAATAGTAGTAGTGTAACCAAAGAGCATGTTATCGTGACGCGGCCGCGGAGCAAATGAAGCCACGCGCACCGCGCCACGACGTTTTATATTTATAGTGCTGAGGCGGGGGGAAGGATTCTCCGCCTAAAGCAGCTGAAAATTATAATGTAAACCTGTAAATAAGTAAAAATATTGATATGTACACCCTAGTCTAACAAGTAGTTATAAGAATATTATATAGTGAATTATGTTTATTAGTTTGTAAGGTTATTAAATAAATAAAGATAGGCGCGGGGGTGAGGCAAGGGTCCGCTGGCCAGCAGCGGCCAAATCATATAAAAGACGGGCCGGCCGCTAGGGTCAGCGCGTCCCGTTCGAACTCTCCAACGAGGAGATTCTTGATGACCTTAAGTCACAAGGATTCCCCGTCGAAGCTGTTCATAAAATGCACAGTAGGACCGGGTTGAGATACCCGATAGTCTTAGCTATCTTAACCAACGTTCCGGAGGCGCAAACCATCTTCCGGCAAGTACGCACGGTGTGCGGCTTGTCGGGAGTTAGGGTTGAGTCACCGCATAGGCGCGGTTTCCCGGCGCAGTGCCACCGCTGCCAACTATATGGTCACGCGGCGGCCAATTGCTCCGCCCCACCCAGGTGCGTTAAGTGCCTAGATCCACACATCACCAAAGAGTGTCCCCGGCCTAAAGATGCCGTATCCCCGCCCGCGTGCGTCCTGTGTCAACAGACAGGCCACCCGGCGAGCTACAGAGGATGCCCGTGCGCTCCTCGTCCGCGCATAGCAAGACAGGCACCACCGCCGGTAAATGACCGTTCATTCCCGGCCTTATATGTTAGGAAGCCCCGTCAGGGCGCATCTCAGCCGTCTCAGGGCTTTGCACGACCCCCTCAGGGTCCCCCGAGACCACCGCAGGCACCGCTTAGGCCACCACCGGGCTTCTCAAAGCCTATGCAGGCTCCAGTTTTTGCCTGGGGCCCCAAAAAGGTAGATCCACCGCCACAGGTATTTTCTGCTCCGCAGCAGAAACAGTCGACAATAGGCGATGACTTTAACACGGTTTACGCCGCGATAAGGAACATCGACATTAACGAAATCTCGGTTTTAGCGAGTAAACTGCGCGCCGCCCGATCCCCTCAGGACCGGCTTTTGGCTCTCGCAGAACACAGTAATTTATTGCGTTCGTTGTAAGCTAAGTTAACTTAATTAACTTAGCTTATAATGACAGAGCCTTCTGCTCTGCCTAAAAGTCACGGTCGTATCAAGCCCAAAGGGCTATCGCTTATTTCATTTAATATTCGCGGATTGCGTAATAATCTCCCAGAGCTTAAGCTCTTCCTTAAAGATCGCGAAGCTGATTTTCTCCTCTTACAGGAAACCAATCTTAAACACACAGACAATAAAGGCTTATCCATTAAAAATTATTCTCTTCTTCGTAATGATAGGCACGACCGCCGAGGCGGCGGCACGGCCATTTATTACAAGAAGACACTACATTGCTCTCTTATTGATACTCCACAGCTTACCAATATGGAAGCTACGTTATGCAGGATATCTATGACGGGACATCAGTCTTTAGTCATAGCCTCCTGTTACATTCCCCCTAAAAACCTCCCCCTCAAAGATGATTTTGAGGCAATCTTATCTCAAAGTAATTCAGTCATTATGTTTGGAGATTTCAACTCTAAACATACTGAATGGACATGCCGTACGATTAATACTAATGGTAGGATACTGCGTGATATAACGCAGTCTCTTGACTTAACCGTTTTCAGCCCGCTCGGTGCAACGCACTATCCCGATAATACCGATTATAACCCAGATGTACTAGATTTTGCGTTACTCAAAGGAGTTTCACTCAACCTCAGGTCTATTGAGACACTAGACGATATAGGATCCGATCACCGACCGGTCTCTCTTATTCTTGGCCATCAGCCACCCCCAATTATAACTACGAAAACCTTCACTAACTGGAAGGGTTTCAAGGACTCACTAGCAAAAGCTATGGACTCGCAGGACTCCCCTAATTACCTATCGTCGGACTTAGACTTAGACAGTCCTGTAAAAATCGACACCGCGGTCGAATCACTTTCAACCCTAATTAAATCCTCCCTTAAGGAGAATGAAAGGGTCGTTCCGGTTGCTAATACTAATGGGCTTCCCCTATATATTAGCAACATATTAAAAGCTAAAAAAGCTGCTTTCCGGAGAGCAGCTAAATATCCCACCCCCGAATATAGGCATACGGCTAATCGTCTTCAACGAAAACTCCGTTCGCACCTTTATGAATTTCGAGAGCTCCAAAGGAGTGAACTCATGGAGAATATATCTCCCTCACATACAGCGTACTATCAGATGGCTAGAGCCCTCCGTATAGACGCTACAACTCACACTCCCCCTCTCTCCCGCCCCGACGGTACGGTTGCCTTCGAGGACGACGAGAAGGCTGAGTGCTTTGCAGACAGCATTGCCGCACAATGCTCTCCTAGCTCTCAACCTGTCGACCCCTCACATATTCAGGAAGTGGAGGATGAGGTCCGCCGCCGGAACTCACCCCCCACAACCTCTGACCCTATCACTGTGTCCAATGATGAGATCTCCTCCCTCATCAAAGGACTTAAGCCCAAAAAATCTCCGGGCGCGGATGGCATATCCAACAAAGCCCTTAAATACTTTCCAGAGCAGGTGTTAACCCTCTTAGCTATTATCTTTAACGCCTGTTTTAATCTTAGTTACTTTCCCACTTCTTGGAAAGAGGCAATTGTCATTGGTATTCCCAAGCCAGGCAAGCCTCTTAACCTCCCCTCCAGTCATCGTCCCATTAGCCTCCTAAAGGCCATGGGCAAACTCTTTGAAAGAGTCATTCAAAATCGAATGAGGCGCCATCTGTTTCCCACAGACGGTGACCCCATTGTCATCCCACACCAATTTGGTTTCCGCGCAAAACACTCGTGTCCACAACAGGTACACCGCATTGTGGAATATATCCTCAGCGGTTTTTATCCACGTCGACTAAAGACAATCGCGGTCTTTTTCGACATTGCCAAAGCCTTCGACCGAGTCTGGCATGAAGGCCTTATTTTCAAATTATATAGGATAGGACTCTCCGATCGTCTAGTACGTCTCGTAGCCTCTTATTTACAACATCGTACCTTTCGTTTTAGACACGAAGACACGTTATCCTCTCAGCGCCCCATTAAAGCTGGTGTTCCTCAAGGATCAGTACTAGCTCCCCTCCTGTACATCTTGTACACCAACGACATTCCTATCCCGTCGAATGGTGTACAGCTCTCACTCTTCGCAGATGACACTGCACTATACTTCAAAAGTCCTAGAATATCTTCAGCAAGGAACAAGATCCAAAAGTCAGTCGATGACCTAGGAGACTGGTTCCAAAAATGGCGTATCGATGTGAACCCGGAGAAGAGCTCCGCAGTTCA